TAAATGCCCACACTCGCTTATATTTGTGGACGTTCTGCCTCCTTGCTTGGTCGGGCCGCTCAATTGTCAGCTTCACATCCCCAAAGAGCCTTGGTACTTTATAGTTTCCAGAGTTGTTCATGAAACCATGTCCCGTCAGGGAATAACATTGCTAACATAACAGGTATATGAATGTGTGTCGTGTGTGTGTGTGTGACTGACTCTGAGAGAATCTGTAGAGAAGATACCCGACCACAGTGAAAGTTCCCATCTGCATGTTCCACCAGCCTAAGGGGGAAACACAACGTCAGTTATGTTGCACAAACTAAACGTTTAATTAATAATGCAAATATTAAATGCAGAATCAAGTTCTCTAAATAAAAATAACCCTTAGGTTGAATTCATAGCTTTGGGTGGCATTCATTTTAATCTTTATATGTAATGACCAGAATAATACTTTCTTTTGAACAGCAGGAAACTCTTGCAGTTGTACAGATGGCAGGTCAGAGCCGCTGCATACAAAACTATTTTAAATTGATTATCATATCAAACTACATTTGAGCAGTGTTTCACTTATTACTATAGTTGTTTTTCAAATAGTCATAACTAGGGATTAACATGCTCCTAATCGCCTGCATTTATTTTGAAAACCTAACCAAGAATTCAAAGAATATTTCACTGATTACTTCACATTATAGTCTCAGCCAACGTCTCAGCTTTTGCAAACCTAACTACTCAATATTACAACATGACATAAAGAAAGGCAATCAGTGAGTAATGCTCATTTCATATAGTGCCAATTTAAAATGCATTGTCATATAATTAACGCTCAAATACACATACTACTCTAAGAAGTAGCATTGACATATTCTTGTCTCACCTCCAGCAGCATCCTCAGGGTTGTCCTTTTCACACTGACACTCCATTTTTCTGCAGTCTTATTGTATCAAGGTAGGGCAAATATGAGACAGCACTCCTGCTTAAACTGTCAACATAAAATCACTTTAAGTTCAACACAAACCCCGGGGTTTCCAACTCAAAGTAAAACTACGAACAACACACGGATTACATCTGTTATTACAGCATACTTAAAGTGTCTAGATACCCTTTTTCCAAACAGATCAGAACTAGTTGTATGTTAACATGTAGCAAAGTAACAGAAAACCTACTCAAGAAAACATTAATATACAATAAAACACGATTTAAAAGCTGTGTTTCAGCGCACAGGAGCAGCGGCTAAATGTTCCCCCAGCTCCATTACCTGCTGCTTAGTCAGAAAATCCTCCCGAGGAATGCCTTTTCCTTTAAATCTGCAAACACCTGACGCGACACACGAGGTCAAAGTTGCATGTATGTTCTTCCTGAAACATTTGCCTGAACACGCCTGCCCTCAGCAGGAACAGTGGTTAGTATTCTTCGCTCTGCTGTGTGGATCAAACAATGCATTGAGAAGGTCCAGGTATGCTTGCTTCAGAGAGACACACCTCTTTTGTTTTCTTGCTACACGAAGAACTGGAAATGTTGCTTCACATGTTTGTGAAGTACGACGAGTCATGCAGGTATGAGAGTAAAGCAAACTAAAGGCAGGGCTGTAAAAGGGTTTAGTTTTATTAATGCAAATGCAAGATTAGATAGGGGAGAGTGGGGTAAATTGAGCCATTTTTTTGTTATGCTGTCCTCTAAGCAAGGAGAAATGACACGTAGTAAAAATGAAAACACACACCTATAATTCAGGATGTCTCCTATCAATGGCAATGATAATAATTAATATTTGATCAAGGGCAGTGAAAATATTACTTCTTAAAAAAAAAAAGTGTAGGGGTAAATTGAAACCTGGGCATACCTACAACAAATCTTAAAGGTAACTATAAACAATAAATAACAAACCAAATACAAGCTTAGTTTTTCAAATATTTTTAATATACATTTCGATTGAATTGATTGATTTTTTTTAACATGTTAAAAGGAAAAGTAATCATACAAATGGTGATACAATTTCATACATCTTACCAATCAAAGACAGGGTAAATTCAACTTTAAATGTAGCCTACAATGAGCTCTTATTATCAACTTGGCCTACTTTCATTCATTTCTCCATTGAAAAACTGGTTCAACCTACCCCAAGGCCCATGGTTCACTTTACCCTTTAAATGTTGATATAACCAAGGTAATGCTCTTTTCTAAAGCTAAAAAGACACCAGAGCCTGTTTTAGATATTGTATACTATAAGGACAAGTACTCAAAGTGGTTACCTGTTACAAATACCTTGGTATCTGGCTTGATGATTGTCTTACTTTTAAACTTCAGGTCATTAATCTGCTTAAAAAACTGAGGGTTAGACTAGGTTTATTTTTCAGAAACAAGTCCTGTTTCTCATTTGAAGCCAGGAAAAGGCTCTGTGACCTTTTTACCTGTGCTGGACTATGGTGATTTGATCTATATGAATGCACCTGCCCATTGCCTGGAAAAGTTAGATGCCGCCTATCACAGTGCGCTGAGATTTGTTACTAACTGTAAAGCACTTACTCATCACTGCACCCTGTATGCCANCTTAACGAACTAACGAAATTTTCGTTTCCTATTCGACGTACTGGGCGGTAGTTCATAAGTAGGTTTTCCTGTCCTCCTACCTGAAACACAAAGTTACTTAAACTAGTAGTTTCCATCCGGATTCAGTAAAGGTTACACTCGGCGGCACGTGGCTGAATTAAGTAAACATTAACAAATGAACCGACACCCGACGGGACAGTTTACTATCCACAAATATATTTACCACAACAAAACCACACCATCTCTCAGCGACAGTAACTCGCAAAACGTGGGACCGGCAACAAAAACTATAATACGACTTACATATACGACACTGCATTATTGAAAAGGAATAGAAAAAAAAAAGCTCCCTTCACCCCCCCCACAGTCCCGGATCCATATTTTCAGTGCGAGCGTCAGGTGACGCCAACGTTACCTTCGAGAGTATGTCATCGAATCCATGATTTCTAGCTGGTGGAAGACAAGGGAGCAGATTTTCAGTCACAAAAACCAATGTACGGGAGTACAAGAGACCAGTTGTGATCCAATTCTCTGAAAGGGGGGGTATAAAACAACATTGTCGTATTTTATGTAGTCAATAGGATGACCAACAGCCCAAAGATAACAGTATGTCACCCAACGATTGTTCACCGATTACCGTGGGGTCACTTTAGGCTTTTATTTAGAAAAAGGCACACAAGAACGGAAAGAGAAACCAGTAGTGTATGTAGCCGTAACATTAAGTGCAAGCCAAACTTAAGTAATAATGTTGTAGACGCATCAAGAAATAAATATCTCGGGACTATTTTCTGGAAACCCTGTTTTGACCTTCTTGACGGTGACTTTGACTTATGCACTGCACCCTAGTATTTACATTAGTGTTAATTTGTTGTAGAGTTAAAGATAGTTAAGGGTATATCCGGATGCAGACAAAGGCCAATAGAATAAAACTTTAAGTCAAGAACTGTCTGCGGTTTATTTATTTTGTTCCTATTAACACACAAAACCACCCATTTGTTGTCACACAATAAATCTTTTTATTTTGATTAATCTTCATTTTTTTTCTAAAATCTTTTAGTCTAAAGTAAATACCGGGGAAATAAAAGGAGTGTCCGCCGTTTTGTTTCAGACTGTACTATGCTAATTTTATTTTTTTGTTATTTAACACCGAAGTATATACTCATTCTTGTACAAAAAATACTTGGTGGTCGAAGGCCGGAAGTTCTGTCCACGTCCGACTGGGATGATATCAGAACGAAATTAGCAAGACACCCTCTGCTTTTTTCCCCTAGCACAACCACTAGTTGCTAGTACAATACAACACGAAGTGCACGGCACTCTGACCCAACTTTACTCTGATGAATTGTAGTAGGTGCGACTTGAATCGGCGGGAAATCGAATGCCATGAAGACAAAGGAATCGAAGTTAGTAATTCATGAAATAATACACTCTAATAGGAGACTTTCATATCAAATTTATAAAAGACGTTCTTAGGTTTTGTGGGGTAACGAAAACAACACTAACTAATTGAAGGAACCAGCTGTATGTTTTTTTGTTAGTAGTTACGTTGGTGTTAATAAATAATGGAAAGAATTTTATCGAATTTCAACAGTACCTCTTCCGATTCAGCATAATTTCCCCGCGATAAGCGAGTTACAAGGTCCAAAGTACAATATAACATAGAGAGGACACATACCTCCCATAGGCATGATCAGTCAATGGAACATCGGCTAAACCTTTGCCATAGCCATTATAGGCAATTCGACGACCTGTTTGCCACCGGAGATAGCCATATACTTTAATGCGAATTTTGAAGGAACAATTTGTTAAGACCAACCAAACCTGGGAGTAGGGCACACTGGCATTAGGCCAACTTTCATCACGTGCAGACTAACGTGAAACAACTTAAAAACGGTCAAGGACAGTAGAAGAGGATTGTCGACGCTGAATATACAACTACTAGAGAGGCACACAACCGGGTCCGCCGTTGTAGAACATTCTTTGTCGCGAGTTTCCGGAAGAATTTGTAAATGTGTATTAATTACTACGTTATGGGTGAATTGCCCTTTTCTTTGAGTCGGTTTGTCTGCTATAACTGGTAAAATGGGATTGGCTTGTTCTTCAGGTTGTGGTTCTCAGATTTAGTTGTTGATCGCTTTCCCCGTTTTGATTGTCCCGATTGCCGAATGAAAACGTGTTATTTGACCGTTTTTCGCTAGAAAACGTGCAGTACAATAGACGTGTCGTGGTGTAAGTGTACTTTCGACTCTAATGGTGTCTAAGCGTAACCGTATTTAGTAGTGACAATGCGGTTTTGAGCGTACTTCGAATCGTCGGTCCTTCTCGTTTTTTTTCTTGAAGTGAAATTGCGATCCCGGTACTACTATTAATACAAAATCGGAAACGACAAAAACACTAGTTTTTCAACAACCAAGTTTCCCTTTTTTTTGCCAATTAGGTTACAGAGACAACATTCGAACTTTTACTAATGACTATTTAGGTAATAATGTTATATTTATATTTGCGTTATTGGCCTAATATTACCAATCCGCTCGGCCTCGAGGGCAAATTCTCCACCGCGTACCGTCGCGAGAAAATTGGATTATTACCCAGTACAAATGGTACCCTAAATACTTGACGGGGTTAATGGCGAAGGTCTCTGTGAAATTAAGGCCAAGTCTGACAGTCTGACTTGCCCAGTCGTGGTCCTCGAGTAGCTTTTTATGCGCTTCAGCGCAGAGAATGACCTCTCCACAGACATCCCGTTGTTGTTGCTCATCCAGCTGGAGCTCTATCCTGGTGTCCCCAAATGTTTTAAGGCGAATAGTAGCTCTGAGGTGACTTGAAGCATTCTTATGGCGATGTGGTGATTTGGATAAACTTCCTAAATCAGAATATCCATCTCTGGCCCATGACCCACTGTCCGCGCCAAAAAGCAAGCAAGCAAGAAGAGCAGTAAAGCTTTTGTTCACTGGTTGATCCGGTCATCCAGTTGTATCTGGCGTAGTTGCCGGTAAAATGCCTCGAACCATTTAAAAAAAAAAACTAAATTAAGCTGTGGTGTTGGTCTCCCTTTGGTAATCAACTCAAATGTATCATTGTAACTCAATCTTGAAAAAGACTCGTTTAATAATTTCGCAATTATGTCATCACCATCACTGACGTGAGCCATCATGAACGAACTTATGCTAATTCACTACTTCCGCCTAGCTTGACCCATTGTTATAACACATGCATAAACTTGACAGCGGTCGGAAGTTGTCATAAAGTCTGCGATAATAAAGCCCACCCATTTAGAGGGAAGATATGATTGGTCAATTGTACTGTCATTTGACATTACTCTCTCGTTGAGTTACTATAGCTGGGCCCTCTGTGAATTGATAGCTGGACCACCATTCAGCTCCTGTCTTCACAGTGACTCACAGAGATGGCTAAAGGAGCTTCTTTCATTTAACCCTTCACATTCAAACAGAAACTGAATAGGCAGATTCGAAGGATTTATTTATTTGGAAATGTTATTTTAAATACAATTAAATCAAGTTATTTTGGTAAAACTAATGAAAAATATAAAAAAGAAAATATTTAAAAATATATATTACATGTGTCTTTTTATTTTTTTAGAATAACTTAGGCCCTCAGAGAGGGCCTAGAGGGCCCTGACGGCTCGCCACTATACCGTGGTTATGCTGTGTCTGATGGATGATTTATATGTCTCTCCCCCCTCCTGTCACCAGATGACTACGAGAACACCACCCTGTTCCCTCTGCCTGCCAGCAGCAGCTCCGGGCTCCTGCTGGCCTCTGGAGACCCCCTGTGGCAGCTGCCGGGGGGGCAGGACAGTCCAATCACAGCAGTGGTGCCCATGTGTGGGGGGGGCTTCTCAAGCAGCACCAGCCAGTCCAGCCTCAGCACCCCGGCCCCTCCCCTGACCCAGCATCAGGACCAGCTCTACAACACACACTTTGCAGAGGTGTGTGTGCAGAGGAGGGCGGGGGTCCCCAATGAGAGCACCACCACCCTGGAGTTCTTCTTCGACCGGCCTCCTGAGCCCACCTTCACTCAGGAGAGGAACAGTCAGCATGCCATGGAGGTGAGTGGAGGAAGAACTGTCCCCCCGAGAGCAAGCAGGACAGGTTTAGATTGGACCTGTCAATGAAGCACACTCTAAAACCTGATTTCCATTTAGCTTTGCAGGCCGACATGTAAAAAAAGAATGAAAATACAGAATGTCCTTTTTATTTTCAATCCTTTAAAACCACGGCAGACACAAGTATTCACATTCTGTACATCACACACTGCACAATTCATCGTTGCTTTTACTATAATAAACCCACACTCAACTCTGGAGAGACACTTCTTATTCAAAGTGTGCAGACAGTGTAGAAAAGTAACAATGTGTTCTCATTTTCTATGAAGCATCTTATTGCGACAGCTGCGGGGCCTATAACCCTTACAAATAATGTTGGCTTCTTTTCAACACCAGTAAAGTGGTCCTTTAAAGGTCCCCTATCATGCAAAGTGCACTTTTTGATGGCTTTTATTCATAAATATGTGTCCCCGGTGTGTAAGGAGACTCACAAGTGTCAGAAAATAAAACCCTCTCTCTTTTCCTCCTTACCCACATCTCTAAAAACGGCGGAACAACGGAGCTGATCCAGATTTGCTGCGTCATGACGACATTACTCAAATTTGGGCTGGCTTTAAGCCAACGGCCCTATCAGAAACATCGCTGTATCAGAAACAATGCGCAACATGTTTTGGAAGTAATATGGTCTGTGTTTACATTAGCAAGCATCGCTAACACTCAGAGCTAACGCTAGAGAGTATTTGTAAAGAAGCAGAAATATAAAAAGGTACTCACCTTAAGGTAAACCCACGAGAGAGAAAGAGTTTGAGCTACATACTGTTTCAGAAATAATCCTTGATGTGGTTTGGAACATAATATGGCGTTTAATCACATCAACATTTTGCTGAGAATCTGGGTAGAAACCTCTCTCTTCACAGAGGAGAGCTCATGCATTAGTGATGTGTCGGTCGCGAACGAGCCGATTCTTTTGAACGATTGAACTTTTTATCGTTCAATCGTTGTTCTGCACTCACTGCCTGCCAAAATCCACTCGCCTTTTAAAAAGCTTGATTTTGTTCCCCAAAAGTATTCTGTGAAGACCGCCCCCTACTCTGATTGGTAGGTTTCAGCACGAGGAGTGAGATGGGGTGAATCTTAAGGGAATACGCGAGAGAGAGAAGTCATAACAAGTGGTACAGGACAGGTAGACAACGTAATTTTCGGGTGGAAAATGAGCCAAACGCGAAAACGCAGCAGCATTTGGATGCACTTCAACCAAAACCCAGGCAGCAAGCGCACCATTTGTAAAGGCAAAATATCCTTTAAAGCAGGGTCAACAAATAATCTCCATCGCCACTTAAAAACACAGTGTCTAATATTAAGAGTTGCGTGAATTTCATTCCAGGCAAGGAAACTTTATTTACTTAGTAGTACATTCACTGACATGAATGACATGGATATGGGGCGCCATATCCATGTCATTCATGTCAGTGAATGTACTACTAAGTAAATAAAGTTTCCTTGCCTGGAATGAAATTCACGCAACTCTTAATATTAGACACTGTGTNCATCCTGAGGGTCTCCTCAGCTCAGAGCCTGAGCCCAAACATTGATGACCTTGCACCCAAGATGAGATGCCAAGTATCTGAACTAGCATCACAGAGCAGCACACTGAGTTTAATGGATGTTTCCTTCTGCACTTTCTCTCTCACGACAACAGGGCATGTTTGGTTTTCTCTTTGAGGGAAATAGTTTTGTTGAAGCTGTTGTTGGCCTGTGGGAAAATGTAATCATAAGAAATGACTGAGGAAAAGCTGCAGATAGAGCCATAAGAAATGAATGCAACTGATTATTTAATGTTGTTTTTATAGGCAATAATTTAAGCTTTGTTAGTTCCAGGTTTAATATTTGCAATAAGTTCATTTCAATATGTTCTGCAATAAACATTGAACCAGTCCGGCCCTCGACTAATACCCATTTTTTTATTTTGGCCCACTGTGTATTTGAGTTTGACCCCCCTGTGTTAGGGGAACCAATGAGGCGAACAAATCCACCTTTAGTTTAGGACTTTCAGGCTTCATTTGGGTTGATGTGATGCAATTTCCTATTTTTCGATACCTAGTTTTCTTTTTAAAATGTCTGTACTACTTTGAGTTTTACAAACAATTCTTCAACAAGGTTTTTCTCGACAATTGGTGCCGCAAACACCTTTCTATTTCCATGAAAGTGCCTCAAATAGACTCAAAGCTTTATATGGCAGATGATGGTGTTGTACTTGAAAACTTTTTCTTTCTTCTTTTTCCTGTTTCTTGTTTGCATGCATGAAAAAGTTCTTTTTTTTTAAGAATTCAAGGCAACAGGGTTAGGGTTAGGGCCATTTGAACCCTAAAACTGCTCAAAAGATGCAACCAAGTTCTTTTTCATTCAGGAAGTATGACGCTGCGCTGTCAGTACGCTTCTCCATGTTTGTGATTGGTCAAATGTTGCTTAACCCACCCCTTTCATGTGAACGCGCACCTAACTAGATAGGACAAAGCTGGCTTGAGTTAACGAGTTGATAACCAGCGTCGTAGGACTGCTTAGCGAGAGCGCGTTTGTTTTGGATTAGGTAAGCCGGGTAACTCAAACATATCCAGGTTAGGTTGAACCGGCTTCGTAGTACAGGCCTCAGAACAGGAATTCTACTATTGTGACAAAGATCAGGATAAGCAGAGACGCAGATAACTAAAACAGTGAAGATAAAGTGTCATGGTATTACATTTAGAGTAGCATTATGTTGTTTATTGACTCACGTGGACAGGACTTCAGATGGAAGGTCTGTGATGTACGACGGGATCTTTTTTCCTGTGAGGAACTGAGCCACCTCGTCGCTGAAAGTGTTGCAGTTGTGCTCGAACAGGTTGTATGTGTCCCGTCTGTAAACCAAGAGAGAGAGGAGAAAATCAATTAGTGAAGAGACTGAGAGGCCTGAGAGGGTGAAGAAGGGCGAGAGGGAAGACAAGATAAAAGAACATTTTGACGAGAGATAAGAGAAAAATGTGAGACTTTTTGAAAGAGGCTTTGAAAACAGTGTACAGGGGATTCAAGATAAATGTCAAATATATGTACTTTTTTTTTATATAAAAGACTTACGGCTCATTCTTCTTGTTTGAACCAAGGGGAATTTCCAGACGATGTTATTGCCATATTTTTGAAAGGTAGAGAATAAATGAATTTCCTTGAGTGTTTTACTTTGTTGTCCTTCATTTGTTTCACTTGTATGTATGATGAAGATATCTTATAAAGTATTAACAGAATTGTTTTAACAAGTAATTGTAGCCTACATCTAAACTTAACACATTGGCCAGGGAGTACAAACCGATTATACTTGTCAAATACTTGAGTGACAAAGTGACGCCCCCCATACCCACCCTGACCTCCAGGTGACCCCACAGGGATGTAAATCTGTGTGATGAAGCTGAGTATTTACCCATATGTAGAGACTGCCAGTGACATCAGATACTCCATAAATAACTCTGCAGACACCTCAGTGGAGCCCAGGTCAACGACGGAGCCAGGCTGACCCAAAGGGGTGCTGCCCTAGGATGAAAACACACAAACACATTACAGTACACCTTGTTGCAAAAAAAAAAAAAGTTTTAAGTCATATCATTGTTTATTGTTGTAACCCTCAGTTCTGCCACAAGAGGGCAACATGCACCACTAGCTCATGTTCTAAATAAGACTACAACCTATTGAAATACATTCCCTGAGAAAGAAAATGATTATAATATTACATTATTTGCTCACACACAGTACAGGTATATGTACCTTGTGTTTAGAGTGCACTAAGAACACAGATGAACAAATGCTCTTTATTCATCTGGCTTAACTTAACTTCCACCTGTTTCAAAGATGAGTATCTTGCTTAATAATGGACGAGTCAAAACCTTTTTTCCACATGCCCTTAACACTAAGACAGGTAATCAAACATTTGTATTTATTTGCCCTGTAGTATTTGTATAATGTTGTATTTTGGATAAGGCTTAAGCTGATTCTTACAGGTGGACAATTGTTGATGCCTTGTCCCACAAAGAAGAACTCCTTTCCATGGATCACAATAGCAGTATGCCTGTAAAACACAAAACATTTAGGCAATGAATTCTAGGTTCACATGATATTTAGTGATATTATTTCAACAGCTTCACTCACCATATCCCATCAAGCTGTCTCCCTATGGTAATAAAACAGAACAACATTAGAATAAAGTTATTCCACACTTTTAACTTGACAGAAAATAAAAGTCACGGCTCAGGCCTGATTAGCATCCCCGCTGTTTCCTGGTTTCCCTCCCGTGTCAGGTTGCACTCTCTGCGGCTTTAATAAAGCTAAGCAACCGGTGGTTCTTCAGAAACTCACCCAGCATGAGAGGACTGAGCTGCCGGGCCATTCCTCTGGACATGTCGTAAATGTACAATTGCACTGGGTAAGACTCGGTTTGTTCCATGGTGACACAAAGTTATTATACTTTAAAAAAAGAGAGACCTTAGTGTTTCTAGCTTACCGGTAGCTAGCAAACAAAACGTAAAAAAAAAATATCTTGGAATTGTTACGGATACAAACATAGGGTTTTCACATTAAAAGTATTAAATAAAGTAGCAAAAAAACTCCTACTTATGCCGGTTACCGGTCAAAATGTAAACAACAACAAAAAATGCATTCTCATTGAGCAGGGGATCTCTTTATAGGGTGGACTATTATACATCCATGGTCAAGCCCCCTCTACTAGACAAACCCCGCCTACTTTACTATGATTGGCCAGTATCTTAGATTGGCAAGACAAACGTCCAATAAACGATGAAACGTCTGTTACGTTTCCTAGCGTGCTCGTTCACGTACCCGGAACGTAGCAACTACAACTTAATAAAACAAAACATATATCGTGGGATTTTTACGGATACAAACATAGGCTTTTTCACATGAAAAGTAATACATAAAGTTACAACAAAAACTCCTAAGAATAGCACTAAATTGCTGGTTTTCAGGCCGTTGGTGCTGTGTAACTGACAGAAAATTAACAACAACATGACTGTCAAGAAAAATGCTTTCTCATGGAGCGCGGTATATTTGTATAGGTTCTGTGATCAAATCCCGCCTACTTTACTATGATTGGCCAGTATCTCAGATTGACAAGACAAACGTCCAATAGACGATGATACGTCCGTTACGTTTTCCAGCGTGTTCGTTCACGTAGTACCCGGAACGCGCCAGGCATTGAAACACGCCTATACTTTGTGGACATACAGAAACAGCACACGGTATGCAGCTATTATAACTTTATCTATGTTGTTTTTTCAATGTGTTCAATCCATATGGTTTCTTTGCATCACTAAAAATATGCAGTTGTTATCAAAGCGAATTTTAAATACTAAAGAAGCGATCAGTAGCTTATTAGTGGCTAAGCTAGCTAACTTGTGTGTGAAGTAAAGTTAAAACCTCACATAATGTTTATTAAATAGGAATAATATCTTAATAAAACATACATAACATGCATGTGTCTTTAATGTACTATTTGCAAAGCAAGGCTATGGTTTTACTTACTGTGCTTTCTTACAAAATACAGGAGTAATTTAAGTGCATAGCAAGACTACTTTTCTAAAAATGACTTTGTTTTGATTGTATTCAAGCTGCTTTGTGTTTCCTCTTCTTGTGTGTTATTGAACTGCTGGATCATTTGACAGGACCGGAAGTAGCTCAAATGCCAGAGTGGAATGCCTTCTACCATAATGAGGAGGATGAGGAAGAGCAGGAGGAAGGAGAGCAATCTGGAGGTGAGATAAAAAACCTCCATTACTCCATTTGAAGTGCAAATAATACAACATCAGAATCACAGACAAGGAATTAGTTTCTGTGTATTAGTGCATACATAAAATACAGTTTTAAGGGGGAAAATAGCAAATATTAAGAACATGTGTGGAAAAAATATACATACAGTATACATCTGTTTTAAAGGTGGAAGGGCTGTTCAGTTTTGGTAGTGTTTTGCATAAATGTGCACAATTGTTAGAAGTGTGCTAAGCTTACCAGTTTGGAGTATCAGGAAGTTGCCTTTCCTTATATGCATGCCATGAGATGTTCTGTTTTGAACTATAGTTGTCGACAAACAATGCTTTCTCTCTTTGTCAGGTGAATATTACAAAAGCACCGGCAGAGACAGTTTGGTGTTTTTGGTCGACGCCTCCAAGGAAATGTTCATCAAAGGAGAAGACGGACAACCCTCCAACTTTGACATGACCATGGAGGTAAGATGGAGAATATCTTTTCTGCTTTATGGAATCATTTTGTCAAATATCATGCATAAGTTGAGGGAATGCTCTTTAGCTTACCTACCGCATACAATAGAATATAAATGGTCACACATGCAGAGCACACAGCACACACAGTGACATTTGGCCTCTGCTTTGAACCCATCCTAGTGCCAGGAGTCTAGTACTAGTAGCAGTGGGCAGCTATTGTACAGCGGGAGCAATGGGAGTGAGGGGGGAAGGGGGTTGTCCGGTGCCTTGCTCAAGGGCACCACGGCAGGGCAGGAGGTGAACTGGGACCTCTCCAAGTAGCACTCCATATTTTAGGTCTGGTCAGGGACTTGAACCGGCGACCCTACGGCTCACAGTCCAAGCCCCTACTGACTGAGACTGCCGGACTAATAGTAATACTCTCTAATATAATAACATACAACCTACATGTTTATTCCACACTTTTAAAACAGTGTTTACCCGGATGAAACTCAAAGGCAGATACAATAAAAGTGATATAGGAGGAAAACAGATACGACTAAACACAGCAAGAAAGAAAGAAAGAACATTATTTAAAACTTAAAAGTGCATAGGGAATGATTCATATAAAAGCCATATAAATAGTGTGTGTGTGTGTGTGTGTGTGTGTGTGTGTGTGTGTGTGTGTGTGTGTGTGTGTGTGTGTGTGTGTGTGTGTGTGTGTGTGTGTGTGTGTGTGTGTGTGTGTGTGTGTGTGTGTGTGTGTGTGTGTGTGTGTGTAGGTGGTGCGCAGTGTGTACACCAGTAAGATCATCAGCAGCCACAGGGACCTGATGGCGTTGGTTTTCTACGGCACGGAGCAGAGCAAAAATCCCAGGAACTCATTTAAACACGTCTACGTTTACCACGACCTGGACGAGCCCGGTGAGACTCACTGACTCAGCATCACACTCTATTTACAGTATACTGCTTTGGTTCTGCTGCAGAAACAAGGGCATGCATATCTTAATCATCATTATCAGAATATTTTATTTCTCCCGGGGGAAATTCGGTTTTGTGACAGTTGGAAATGGAGAATTAAATAAGTAAATGAAAAAAAGAAATCGGAATAAAAGTGTTTATAAATACCTAGTTAAAGTGAAAATGTGCAATAGAAATATAAAATAAAATAAAGATATTTATAAAAAACAAGAGGTTAAAGTAAAATGTCCAATAAAATATGACTTTAAAGTTAGGAATTTAAAAAGAGATGTGCACAATACAGTATATATAGTGGTGTATTGATATTATGAGTTGCACAGTTTCAAAGGGTTTGGCTTCTGAAAGTGTAGTAAAGTATAGAAGACTTTGATTGTTATTGCATATTATTCAACAAAAACATTTGAAAACTTAAGAACACTTTCAGAAAGTTAAAAATCATAATTATAGTGATCAGAGGTTGGAAGTAACTAAGTACATTTACTATACTATTTAACTATATTTTTATGCTAATACTTTTCTACTTTTACATGAGTAACATTTTGAATGCAGGACTTCTACTGTAACAGAGTATTCCTATATTCTGGTACTTCTACTCAAGCACAATATCTGAGTACTTCTACTTTTACTCAAGCACAAGATCTGAGTACTTCTACTTTTACTCAAGTACAAGATCTGAGTACTTCTACTTTTACTCAAGTACAAGATCTGAGTACTTCTACTTTTACTCAAGTACAAGATCTGAGTACTTCTACTTTTACTCAAGTACAAGATCTGAGTACTTCTACTTTTACTCAAGTACAATATCTGAGTACTTCTACTTTTAGTCAAGTACAAGATCTGAGTACTTCTACTTTTACTCAAGAACAAGATCTGAGTACTTCTACTTTTACTCAAGTACAAGATCTGAGTACTTCTACTTTTACTCAAGTACAATATCTGAGTACTTCTACTTTTACTCAAGTACAAGATCTGAGTACTTCTACTTTTACTCAAGTACAAGATCTGAGTACTTCTACTTTTACTCAAGTACAAGATCTGAGTACTTCTATTTTTACAACAAGATCTGAGTACTTCTACTTTTACTTAAGCACAAGATCTGAGTACTTCTACTTTTACTCAAGTACAAGATCTGAGTACTTCTACTTTTACTCAAGTGCAAGATCTGAGTACTTCTATTTTACTAAGTACAAGATCTGAGTACTTCTACTTTTACTCAAGTACAAGATCTGAGTACTTCTACTTTTACTTAACAAGATCTGAGTACTTCTACTTTTACTTAAGCACAAGATCTGAGTACTTCTACTTTTACTTAAGCTCAAGATCTGAGTACTTCTAGCACCTCTGTTAGTGATTACTTTTAGTACCAGTGTCACTACATGCACAATGCAAGAAAGTCTTCTTTCTGTGCCCCTTTTTAAACTGCTACACATGACTTTCTCTCACCCTATTCCTTCTGTTGTTCCTCACCTGTCTGCTCACACACCTCCTCTCTTATCTCAGGTGCAAAGCGAGTGCGGGGGGTGGACGCTCTGCGGGGGGAGAAAGGAGCCCAGCTGGTGGAGGAGACGATGGGCATCGGAGGGGAGACGTCTCTAGCTGACGCTCTGTGGTGCTGCGCTAACCTCTACAGCGACATCAAGCTGAGACTCTCCCACAAGAGGCTCATGATCTTCAGCTGCAGGGACGAGCCTCACGGGGGCGACAGCGCCAAGGACCGGCTGGCTCGCACTAAAGCTGGAGACCTCAAAGAGACCGGTACGTTTAGTTTAGTTGTTTCTAGTGTCGTGGACAGTCCCCGTTAATCAACTGTCACACAAAAACAGTAAATGGGGCAGCTTTAGCCAACATTGCTAATCTCCAGCTGTTGTCCCCGGCCAGATGATAACAGACACCTTTTTAAAATCACAATACATCAACAGCAATAGTTATAAAGAAAGGATTAAACACAAGTACATACAGGCGGTAAAAGAGAACAATAACATGCAAACAACACACGTGACTACATTAGGGACGCCAGCGATTATTCGAATATTCGAATATTCGTTACAGTCTCCATAATCGAAAATACATTTTTAAAATTACGTATTTTATTTATATATATTTTTATTTTATTTATGTTTCTTTTTTTTGTTCACTGGCTTTAGTTGCAACCAAAATATAGACTAATGCTAATAATAGTTAAATAGTGATTAATAATTGTTAAATGGGCCATTGGTTCACACCACCAGGTTTGTTTTACTGTAAACTTGGAGAAGCCAGGCAGCGCAGCGCTTTGGTTGCGCTGCTACCCACCGACCCCCCCCCCCCCCCCCCCTTCTCCGTCACACGTGCGATTGAATTTATTGGAGTGAGAAACAAGAAGAGTTCCTCGTGGAACTAACTTCAACTGACAAGTGCACAATGAGGTCAAATGCAAGAGTTTTCTTTTTTTCTCTCCCGCGGGAGGGGGGCGTTCGGGAATAATCGGATTATTAATTCGCCAGGGCTGTCCATTTTCG